GGAAGATTAGCTTCATAAGTATTATTTCTTAAGGTGAAAGTGATGAGCCATTAGTAAATCAGTGTACAAGGTTACAAGCAGCATTGTACATGTGTATATAGTGTGTGTATAAATACATTATAAATAAATATGTATGCTATATAACAATATACAGTCAGAATTTATTAAATACGGTGAGAATCATAGTTGTGAGACATTTTCATTTTATATACCTGTACATATAGAAAACATACATAAATACATACACATGGGGAAATTATGTAAAAAAAAACTTCTTCCCAGGGGTCACTTTTTAAAACTTTGAAAGCCATGGATGTAATGGTTGAGAATAAAGACTTTGAGACAACTGCTTGGTGGCAATCAGGGCTGTGACACTTAGCGAAGTGACCTCTGTCCTGTTATTTTACTTCTCTGCCCCTCGGTTTCCTTACCCACCAATGGTGAAGATTATAACACCTGTTTCTTGTGCGGGGCAGTAGCTGTCACATGACCTTCGAGACCACTTAATGACTAGTATACGGTCACCTCCCCCTTCCTTCAGTTCTACTAAAGCCTCATCGAGACCCTGTGAAGCACAGACAAGGAAGTGGACGGTCTCTCAGCTGGAGCCACCATCTCTTGTTTATTACTTGTGGAAAGAACATTACAATTTCACCACACTTGGCCTCAACCTGTGTGCTTATGCAATCCTCACAACATATGAAACCGTTTCAGCTGACAGTATTTCCTCACTCTGGCTTACATTCTGCGGTAATCATTCATTCCTGCTGAAGAGCAGGGAGATTGACTGGCTACACACAGGATCCTTGTCAGAACCCAAGTCTACCATAATGAGCCCAAAGCCATTTTGTCTGGTGTGTTTTTATGATTGTTAGTAGTTCCCTCCTCATTTTTCATCCTTTATTATCACACACATTGATTTGATCTTATAATTTCTTTCAGCATTTAGGATGGAAGCCGTATTTGAAGATCATTTATCTATATTTTCTTTTAGTGGTGCTGAGAAGCTATTTTAGGACCTCACACATGTTAAGAAAGGCTCTACCACTGAGCACCAGCCCTAAAACCATTTTTTTCCAGTATGTCTTTGTACAAGTTTAATTTGATTTTTTTTTTCGTGATCATGTTAAGGAATGATATCTTTTTATTGAAATAAAAATTTTTCAGACAATATATTCTGACCACAGTTTCCCCTCCCTCATCTCTTCCCAGATCCTCCCACCATCCAACTCCATGCCTGCTTTCTGTCTCTCTTTAGAAAACAAACAGGAAAAAACAAAAAGAAATCACAAGAACAGAATTTTAAAAAATAAAACAGGAGAAACACATGCACACACATACATGCAACACTACCGCCCCCCCCCCAAAAAAAAACCCCACAACATTAGAAACATAACATACAGGCAAAAGACTGGCAAGGGGAAAAATGCCCAAACAAAGAAATATGAGATGAAAAAAAAAATCTCCAAAAAGCCATTGAGTTAATTTGGGGTTGGCCATCCACTGTTGGACATGGAGCCTTCTTTTAAGTGTGGTTTGTATGCTTGGTGAGACTCCACTGAAGAGAAGAGATTTTTCCTTTGCAAGCAGTTGTAAGTTAGAGATCATTTCTTGGTTAGGAGTGGGAGCTTATGTCCACTTTCCCCTCTCAGCAATGGGACCACATCTGGCTTAGATCTGTGCAGGCCTTGTGGATTGCTGCCACAGTCTCTGGGAGTTCATGTGTGCATCAGTCCTGTTGTGTCTGGAAGACACTGTTTGCCTGGTGTCATCCATCCCCACTGGCTCTTACAGTCTTTCTGCCTCCCCTTCCTCACAGCTCTCGGAGCCCTGAGGGAAAGGATTTGATGAAGGCATCCCATTTAGAACTGAATATTCTAAAGTCTCTCACTCTCTGCCTATTTTCCAGTTGTGGGTCTCTGCATTAGTTCCTCTCTACTACAGGGTGTAAGCTTCTCTGATGATGGCTGAATGAGATACTGATCTCTGGGTTTAACAGAATGTCACTAGAAGTCATTTCGTAGCTATGTTCCTTTAGCAGAAAAATAGTATTTAAGTTTCTCCTAGGTCCACAGCCTATCTAGTCTCAGGTTCTTAGCCACCCATGCTGCCCATATAGTATAAAACATGAGTTTCATCTTATGGAGTGGGCCTTGGCTCTAAGCACAGAGTGGTTGGCTACTTCCACAATATTTGTACCATTATTATGGCATAAATCATGTAGGTATCACGCAGGCAAGGCACCATTGGATACTGAAGCATTTGTAGCTGGATTGGTGTTTGCTTTTCTCTTCTGGTAGAGTGCAGAGTACCTTCGAGTACCATAAACACTGGTCAGTAGGATGAAGACTCTAGTTAGGCACCAGCCCAGCGTCTCCCTGCTCCATGAGATGTATGTGTGTTGTCTTCAACAATGGGGCCCGGCAATCAGTTGGTGGCGAGCCACCACGGCTGTGTTACTTTTGTCTTTTGTTTTGTTTTCTTGCTTTCCTTATTGTTTGTCCACTGTCACCCTAAATCAAGAGGAAGTTGTCGACTGAAATTACTGTACTCAAGGAGAAAGATTTTCCCTTCAAGTGGCCACCCCCATGAAAGATAGCTCCATCTTCTACCGTGTGTTAAGAGGTGATAAGTGTTAGACGGTTGGAAGCAGACGGACAGTTTTCAAGACATGGTTTGGTGGAGAGTCTTCCTCAGAGGAAAACCACCCTTCTTCATCAAAGACATTTTCCCCCCTATCTTCCTTTCTTCCTTGAGATCTTCTTTTTCCTTCTCCCTAAGCCCCAGATCCCAAGCAGACTTTGGGAAAGTATGTGCTATTTCATTCGGAATTTGTTTCTGCTGTGTTGTGAGTCAAGTATAGAAAAGCATCTCTGGAAATTAATCCTTCAATGTAGCAGCTGCTCGCTGTGCTCCCTCTGTGGACTGTCTGGGAGATCATCTTCCTCCAAAGGGAGAGCCGGGCAGGCAGTTGTGGAGGAAGCTCACTTAAGCTGTGTGGCCCATCTGACCTGCAAATCAATCATGGTAGTGTTGATGTAACACATTATAAGCAGCATTGTTTCTCCAACATTGTAGGCATGGACACAATATCAAACTTCATCAGCTTTTAAAAACTTTGGTATAACTCTCCTTAAAGTTCCTAAATAAATTTAATAGAAATAGCACTATAACTTCTTGACTTTTACTGTTAGTGTATACTCTGTCTGGGTATGTAAAGACAAGTGTATCATTTAGATATACAATTCTGCATACAGATTTTAAATACCTTTCCTACTCCCACTTTTCATGACGCATGATTCTAAGAAGCATTTCTGAGATAAAAAATGCCATCCTGAACAAGGCTTCTCAGTGTGGACACCAGGTGCTGATACATATCTTTGCTGGAACAGCCCAGTGAATGTTACTATGCAAAAGCTGCATTTTGGGGTGTCAGATATGTGTTTATCTGCAGCTGTGGTTCTCAAACTGGAATACACATTGCAAGTACATAAGGAACTTTTAACAATCACACTCCCTGACTGTCTGTACCCCAAAGAAATTCAAATATCTAGAAGTAAGCAGAGAAATATTTTTAAAACATCTCATTTGGTTCCATTGTGGAAGATTGGAGGTTTCCAGGTTACTGATTTCTCAAAGCTGAATTAAGAGGATGTCTAAACCTGTCATTCTCCGCCCCCCCCCTTGGAATTTTTTCAGATAGCAAAAGGTAATCTGTAGTCACTACTAAATGAAATATGTATGTAAAGTGCTAATGTGATGTAATAGTATCTAGTAAAAATAACTAAAATAAAGATGTAGTCTAAATGGGAATCCTCATCTTTTGTTTGTGTTTTTACTCTATTTTTTTTTAAATCCATGAACATATACAATTTGTCTTAGGGATATCCATCCCCAATCCCTCCCTGCCACCAGCTCCTTCTGGCCCTGCTTCAACTTATTATCCATCTCTCTCCTAAGTTCATATCTTGGAATCCTCATTTTTAAAATGAGTATTTTGGGGTCTGAGAAGATTGCCAAGTGGTTAAAGTGTGAGGTATGAGGACCTGAGTTTGGATCCCCAGCACCCACATAAAAGTCAGGCATGTGGTACATATTTCTAACACTGGGATTATGGGGAGGCAGACAAGTGGATTCCTAGGCCTTGCTGGCCAGTCAGCCTGCCTGAATGGCAAGCTCCAAGTTCAGTGAGAGCCCCTGTCTGAAACATGAGATAAGAACCAGAGAGAAAAATCATATGTGAATCTCTGGCCTACACACACACACACACACACACACACACACACACACACACACACACACACACACAAACACAGAGAGAGAGACTAAGCACGCACACATGCATGCACACACAGGTGTATGCCTGAGGTGCGTGCTACTGAACACACTCGCATGTGCATGTATACACATGCATGCATACACACACACAAAGCCTCCAAAGAAGAAATAGGTATAGGTATGCTATTTCAAGATCTTTGAGTACAAGCGGTGTTAATGCTAAAGTTTCTTCAGAATGTGGGGCATTTTCATTCATACATGTGAGAATTAATCTGGGGACAAAGGTTGAACTCTTATCAATTGCAACACTTTTCAGGGATGCTATAATACCACCTTTAGGCATAAGCATTGTTCCTTGGGGCCTTCCCCTCTCTGCCCATCGTCTCGCTTTCAGTCCTGAGCATGCTTTCCAAATGCACTACCTGTCCCCAAATCCCTTTCTCCTGGGCTGGATCTTAAACAGGCCCTAAGGAATGATGCTGGAAATGAAGGCACAACTTTTTAACTTTGAAACTAATGACTGACAGTAGCCAGCAATAGATGCTGAGACGATGAGCCAGGAAAACAACTTTTCCAAATGTTAGCATCACCTCCTAGATAGGATAGGGGATAGGCTGGCTTTACCCAAGCGGTTCCTTCTTTACACACTTCATAAGTGTGTTTCACGGGAACATCCCATGACCCTCCTGATTCCATGCTTGCCTTTTCTTCTTCTTCTGCAGATTCTTCTGGGAAGCCTCAATTCACCTCGTGCCGTTCACCTGAACTGGAGACTTTTTCATGCTACTGGACGGAAGGAGACCATCATAACTTAAAGATCCCAGGATCTATACAGCTATTCTATGCTAGAAGGTGAAGGCTTCATGCCCTTCTGACTTTTCTCCATTTGTCAGTGTGGCTTGTGTGGAGAGCAGGGATATGGTAGATTCACATTATGAGTGAGAGCATGTGGGCATGCCTGTGGACATGAGTGATTAAGTGCAGAGACTTGAGGGATACTGGAGCTGAGGAGGTCTCGGGGACCTCTCTAGTGCAGCGTGTTAAATCGGAGAAAGAAACGAAGTGAGAGATACCGTGTATATGTATGAGGGAAAGGCTGTGGAGGCAAGGAAAATTGCAAGTGTGATGCACTGAGGCCATGGTGGCATGTTTGAGAATCAGATGAGCCTGTAACAGATGGCATGAGACTGAAAACTTGGGAAGGGATCAGATACTCGGGGACTGTGCCAATGCTTGTAGGCCAGGTAAGAAGACTGAATCTTACTTTGTGTTTTGAAAAATTATGCTTTAAAAGCCTCCATTGGTTTTCTATAGAACAGGCCATTGTCTTAAATTAATTTTACTAAGTGAGGGGACTTGCTCTTCCATTTTTAATCCATAGTCCTTTAGAATGACACCAGACAAGGAAAACAAGCATCTAGAAATTTTGTCATCACCCAATAGTTGAGTTTCATTCCCCTGCAATTTCTTCCTTTTCTCTTTTACCACTTTTAATACACACAGTAAAAGTATAATTGATGGGATACACTGTGACATTTTTGTACATCTCTATGATGTGTAATTATCAAACCAGGACAATTGAGGTATCTATCACTTTGGGAATTTATCATTTCTTTGTGTTGGGACCATCCAAAAATCCTCTCTACTAGATACTTTGAAATACATGGTTAATGCATCATTGACAATTATAATTAATTACCCTACTGTGCTACAGAATAAAAGTGCACCTTTCACCTTTTGAAACGATACAGTTAAACACTTCCTTGTCTCTTCTTCTCCACACAAACCTCAAGAGAGTCCTAAGACCAGCTGCAGGGATAGTGATGGTACTTTGTCTTAGTCTCTCATCCACAGATCTGAGAATGTCACTTTCTACCCCAGAGATGACAGGAAAGGGAAGGAAGACATAAGGGGCAGTTAGTCAGAGCCAGTATCCCATGGTCCCTCCTGGCTCCGCCCTTGCTCACCAAGTAACAGTAAATTAGTTAAGCTGGGCACAGCTCTGCTGCCTCACTTCTAGGAGGGTGATAATAGAATTAGCTCATAGCTGTCTATGAGGGTTTTTCTTAGCTAGAAAAATGCATGGCACAGTACATTTTACATAGTAAGTACACAATAAATAAATAAGCAGTATTTTCTTAGTATTAGTATATAATAATAATTTAAAATAATAATGATGTAGAGTCCAGATTCCAGAGCTAAAGAAGTGGTTTTTGATTCTTTGCTGCTTGTGATTATTGGCAGAGCCAGGCAGGTCTCTGTGAGTTCGAGGCCAGCCTGGGCTACCAAGTGAGATCCAGAAAAGGCGCAAAGCTACACAGAGAAACCCTGTCTTGAAAAAAAAAAAAAAAAGAACTTTCTAATGCCCACCTGAGTGTTCGATTTACAGATAACAAAAACTGTAAGTGAACAACCAAGACTGGCCCTGTCCACCCTCTAGTTATGAGAGGCATCACAGAATACCCTGCCCCCAAAAGCACACAGAGATGGGGTATTTTAGCAACAAATACACTACTTACTTACCTTGAGATTGATATTGTAGACAAGTATGGGCCAATAAATAAAGTAAAGCAGGCAGACAGACAGATAGATGCTCCCTCAGACATGAAGCTAAGGTGTTTGGGAACACTTTTCAATATGTATGAATTGATTCTGTTATTTCTAAAATGAAAATGGAGAAACTTACAAGATGCCACTTTTGCACCTTGCTCCAGCAGCTCAGACAGCTAGAGCCATCAAAACAAAGGAGAAGCTTTCATACCATTGGTCACCATTGACCAAACTGATCCAAGAACCGATGGGAGAATGTCTTGAACTAGTTCCACTCCTGGGCAATGATTTTCCCACCCTCCTAGTAGTCACCTACCTTAATTGTGAGCCAAAAGATAAACCCAGAGGTACAAAACCCACACAAACACACTTGTCTCTAGCTTTTTCCCACCAGAGCCACAGTAACTCTGTCTGCAGGCCTCCTCCACACATCCCATTCTCCCAGCATCCCATTCTGTATTCAGCCGGGGAACTAACAAGTACTCTGCTACAAGTGTGACCAGGGGAAGGGGAACTCTCAGACATATTCAAGAGAACATCCTTGCTTTAGCCCCAGTGGAACCTAGACTCCCAGGAGAAGAGTATACACACCTCCCTAAGTACCATGAATACAAACTCATGACCAAGTGCCAACCCAAACTCCACAAATCAGGATTTTGTGTTTTCTCTACAAAAACATAAATACTTTGAATATCCTAGCCAAACCACATAAGCCCTCAGCCCTGTTTATCTGAGAAGGGTACAGCTGAGGGTTAGGAGATCAGAATGAGGTTGCCTTGGCACATGGACTCTCAGCATCCACTTACCCAGAGACAACGGCACAGGGGGTGCTTCCAACTCTCGTGATTGTTTCTGAGTGTTCCTTCCTAGGCAGCTCCTGAAACTATAGAATCATGCCTCTCACCCCTGACGCACAACACTGCAGCATGCTTTAATTCATCGCTGTAGTCTGTGGAGCAGCAGGAAAAAAAAAAAAAAAAACAGGGAATATGGTGGTGTGTGACCAGCCTTCGGTTCACTGGGCTGTTCTTGGACTCCAAAGCGTACAAGAGTCTAAGCACGCTTAGCTGTCAACAAGTCAGAAGGGCTCAGGCACTCGTGTGTTCTACTTGGACCCTATCCTAGCCAGGTAAGCTGGCAGAGGAGATGGTCCTGGCTTATGAAAGCAGCTGATTCAGAGCAGTCCCTGACGCCCTGTGATGGAGAAACTGCCAAATCTAGCCTCTGCACTTGAAGGGGACTCAGCTTGAATGCCAATCAGAGGCATGGCAGAAATCGGCACTATCGAGTGTGGCAGAGCTTGGTGAAGACTTCATGAGAGCCTGTTGGAGATGGTCAATATTAACCTCGTTGTTTTCATCTTTTTACCATTTGTTTTAATTCAATTTTTTTTTTTGTATCATCACACTTCCTCCTAAAGGATCTGAGACCCAGTTCACTGGGGTGTGAGGCGATGACTAATCTGGCTCCTTTGTCTGAGGGGGTTGGCTGGATTTGTCCCTCCCCAAAGTTTATGCCAGAGAGAGGTGGGAGGTATGTCCTGCGGGTTCAAGGACTCCAGATGATCCAGTGGCTCATGGTAGGAGGAGCTGGCTGTGGTGGTTAACAGTTGGCATCCCTCAGTTAGAATTATTTGAAGTTTGTGGGCCCGGAATCTGGTTTTATTTTTATGACTTTTCCGCTCTTTATTTTTACTCCAGTCCAAACCTTTAGAGAGAAAATGCTGCTTTCACTCTCTGTTTTTATTTTTAAATCTCCTATGGTCCTTATTCATGTTACAAGGTAGTCTGGGGGCAAACCTAAAGAACTTTATTTTGAGAGCTAAGAATAAAGTAGCTTTCTTAGATTGTCTTGCATCGTGTGTCATGAGGTTATTTGCCTTTTAGATTTACTAGTTTAAGAGAGACACTTTAGCCAGGTATGATGGCCCATGCCTGTAGCCACAGCACTCAAGAGGCAGAGGCAGGCAGATCTCTGAGTTCAAGGCCAACCTGGTCTACAAAGCAAGTTCTGGGACAGCGGTGACTACATAGAGAACCTGTCTCAAAAAACAAGAGAAGGGGAGGGGATGAATTGGGAGTTGTGTTTTGAACTAGCTATTCCTGGTCTGTCACGCTTCATATCCAGATTAACTCTTGTAAGCGCTGTGTCCTGAGGAGCAAATGGATTTAGAAAACCTAACCAGGATTTTACAAATATGCTCCCCGGAACAAGGCTACTAACACTACCAAAGTCCAGAAACTGTGAAGCACAGCAGAGCTAGATGGCTACTTACAATAAACGCAGACCTGCTGACCACTGGCTGCCCTGAATCTTTGCGCCATCCTGAGACTCACTTTTTCAAATGGACACCATTGGGTACATCATATTAATACACTTGATATCTTCTCTGATATTTTATGGATGCCTAATTTCCTGGGCAATTTTGGTAAAATCTTTAATTCACTCTTAGTTTGAATGTCAAGATTAAACAAAAATGCCACCACTCAGTGCGTCACCTACCCCTGATCTTTTGCTGTTGCACCAAAGACAACGCGTGTGCATGCACAAAGACGCTTCATCCCTCCTTCGCCTTTCTCCACCTACTTTCCCAATCATAAAAGACTCTCCTTGTCATCTAAGGACATGCAGCTTTTAAGAATCCCAGTCAGAATCTGAGCAACCGTTTACCATCTCCGATTTTGGAATCTCTGCTCTTTTAATCCCAAGTGTGTTCAAACAGCTGATGAGCAGCTGTCTCAGTGGCCCCTGATTCTACAGAAATCCCTGGTCCCAAATAACGAGCCTGAGAAGCAGCTGTTAAGACAGAAATGTAAATGTGTCTTCGGGGCTTTTCATTCCTTCCTTCCAGGCCGTGCCTTCTCTCAAGCCCGTGTTCTCAATGCTCACGGCTACCAGTACCACCCTGCCGTGGGAAAGTCTCAAACACCCACATCTAGTTTGTTAACCCCAGCACCTGTGCCTGCCCAGTCACTCCTGTCACTGTGTGTGTGCGCACGCGCGCGCGCGCACGCGCACGCGTGAGTGCTCGCGCATGTGTGTAAATGTTCATATCTGTGCATGTTTGTACACAGGTGTATTATATATGTGTGTGATGTAAAGGGCAGAAGTTGATGTCAGGTGTCTTCTTCAGTTGCTTACCACCTCTTAATTTTTTTTTTTTTTTTTTTTTTTTCTGGTATCAAAATTTTTTTTTTTAAATTTATTTTAATTTATTTTGCAATACAATTCAGTTCTACATATCGGTCATGGATTTCCTTGTTCTCCCCCCTCCCGTCCCCCTCACCTTCCCCCCAACGCCCCCCCCCCCATTCCCATCTCCTCCAGGGCAAAGCCTTCCCCACAGACTGAGGTCAACCTGGTAGACTCAGTCCAGGTAGGTCTAGTCCCCTCCTCCCAGGCAGAGCCAAACAATCCTGCATAGGCCCCAGGTTTCAAACAGCCAACTCATGCAATGAGCACAAGATCTGGGACTTCAAGCTCTACTATAGAGCTACAGTAATAAAAACAGCTTGGTACTGGCATAGAAACCGACATGTGGACCAATGGAATCGAATTGAAGACCCTGACATTAATCCGCACACCTATGAACATATAATTTTTGACAAAGAAGCCAAAAGTGCACAATGGAAAAAAGAAAGCATCTTCAACAAATGGTGCTGGCAAAACTGGATATCAACATGTAGAAGGCTGCAAATAGATCCATATCTATCACCGTGCACAAAACTTAAGTCCAAGTGGATCAAGGACCTCAACATAAATCCAGCTACTCTGAACCTGCTAGAAGAGAAAGTAGGAAGTAGTCTTGAACGCATTGGCATTGGAGACTACTTCCTAAATAGAACACCAGTAGCACAGACTCTGAGAGAAACAATCAATCAATGGGACCTTTTGAAACTGAGAAGCTTTTGTAGAGCAAAGGATACGGTCAACAAGGCAAAGCGACAGCCTACAGAATGGGAAAAGATCTTCACCAACCCCACATCTGACAGAGGACTGATATCCAGAATATATAAGGAACTCAAGAAATTAGACATCAAAATGCCCAACAGTCCAATTAAGAAATGGGCTATAGAACTAAACAGAGAATTCTCAACAGAGGAAACTCAAATGGCCGAAAGACATTTAAGGAATTGCTCATCATCCCTAATCATCAGGGAAATGCAAATCAAAACAACTCTGAGATACCACCTTACGCCTGTCAGAATGGCTAAGATCAAAAACACTGAAGACACCTTATGCTGGAGAGGATGTGGAGCTAGGGGAACTCTCCTCCACTGCTGGTGGGAATGCAAGCTTGTACAACCACTTTGGAAATCAATATGGCGCTTTCTTAGAAAATTGGGAATCAATCTCCCCCAAGATCCAGCTATACCACTCTTGGGCATATACCCAAGAAATGCTCAACCACACCATAAGAGCACTTGTTCAGCTATGTTCATATCAGCATTGTTTGTAATAGCCACCTCTTAATTTTTAAGCTGGAGTCTCTCACTGAGCCTGGAGCCTTGCCTGTTTGGCTAGACTAGCTGGCTGACAGGATACTCCTGTCTCTACCTCCCCCGCACTGGCATTCCATGTGCTTTCCTTCTCACCCAGCATTTTCACACGTTCTTGGGATCCGGTTCAGGTCTCCGTGTGTTCGCACAGCAAGTACTTTACCAACTGGATCAGCTCCTCCGCCCCTGCTTTCTTAGTCAGCAACCTCCTTTCTTAATCAAAGGTGCCATGGCTTTGTGTCTGCTTCACCTGTAAACCCTCTCCTCAACGGAGACAGGGCAGTAAATAAAACAGAGAGACAAGGAATCACCCCACCTGTGTCTGTCAATCATCTTACCACCGTGGCAAATACGTGAGAGAAACACTTTGAAGGAGGAGGGGTTTGCTTGGGTCCGCGGGTGCAGAGGGTGAACCTGAACTGAAGTCTGCGGTCCCCTGAGTATGCTGCTATGGGCCTGTGGGAAGACAAAAAATCAGAGTGGCCATACAAGAGGGTACTTGGCTCATGCTGTCAAGGAAGATGAGAGCGGGACAGGGGGAGGAGCTAGCAAGGAGATAACACTCTACAAAGTTACATCCCCAGTGCCCCTTTTCCTCACCAGCCCCACATTTGGTCTCTACCACTCCCAATAATGCCATCAAATTATGACTCTATCAATGATTAACCCATTGGTTGGGTCACCAAGGAATGATTGGATCTACCAGCTAGGAACTCAAGGCATATACACTCAATTAACAGACGTTTTTATTTAATACCGTATAAGCTCCTGACAGTCTTCAGACTTCTATAGATGTGATGTTTCTTAGAAATAGTACTTCTGAAATGTTAAATTTTTAATGCCATCAGGTATTTGTGTCATAGCTTACTGACTCTGGCTGCCAGACACCTCGCTTTGACTAAAGCTATGGCAGGTATAATTTGGGGAATGATTAATCCTTTTTTACCCTCCATTTCAGAATCGCTCATGAATGGTCCCAGGAGTGGAAAGAATGCCCTGATTATGTCTCTGCTGGAGAAAACAGCTGTTACTTCAACTCCTCGTATACCTCCATTTGGATACCCTACTGTATCAAGCTAACTACAAATGGTGACTTGTTGGACGAAAAGTGTTTCTCTGTTGAAGAAATAGGTAAGCGACAGGCTTGTTTCATTTGACATGACTTTAGACTAAATATTAAGGAAGCTCTAATTTCCAAGTATAATCAAGTAGAAAGCCTTTGTAGTTTAAGTATATGGAGTCTGTCTCATGGGAGTCTTAAAGGACAGAGGGGAGTTAACTTGACTATAGCTTAAGGAAGTCTGGGAATAGAGCTAGAGCGGTGCTCAGTGGCTTAAGAGAGCTGACTACTCTCTAGAGGTCTGTAATTTGTTTCCCATCATCTGTGTAGCAACTAACAACCATCTTGAGTCTAGGGCAGTAGTTCTTATTCTTCCTAATCTGTGACCCTTTAATATGGTTTCTCATGTTGTGGTGACCCTTTCTTTGTTACTTCATAACTATGATGTTGCTACTGTTAGGAATCATGATGTAAATATCTGTGTTTTCCAACAGTCTTAGGTGACCCCTGTGAAAGGGTCATTCAACCCCCAAAGGGGTCACTACCTACATGTTGAGAATCACTGGTCTAGGGGAATCAGATACCTTCTTCTGGCCTCTGAACACAAAATACACAGTGCACAGACATGCACGCAGACAAAACACCCATACAAATGAAATAAATAAATAAATTTTTAAATTTTTTTTAAAGAAGCCTGGTAGTAAATGCTATGAAGAAATTAATCAGGGTCTGAGAGGCGGTTCAGTGGGTAAGAACACTTGCTGCTGTTTCAGAGGACCCATCACCCACACGGGGTTTCACAACCACCTGTAACTCCAGTTCCAGGAATCTTCTTCTGACGTCTGTGACACCAGGAATGCACCGAGTGCATGTACATACAAGCAGGCAAAACGATATAAAATAAAAATATATCTAAAAAAATTTAATTAAAAAAAGAAGAAATGAATCCATCCTTTCCTTTACAAAGTCTCCAACCCTGAACAGGATTCTTGTTGCCAAAACAAGGAGCTAACTCAATGCACTCTTAATTTTTCCTTAATTTTTGACATGATTTTCATATTCAGATCTACTGAAGAATGTTGACCTTTGGCCCCTATCATTGGTATAATCAAAGCCTAGATTGTGTTGATCACAAAACAAAATAACCATAGAATTTTAACCTTAACCAAACAGCTACAATCAGGCCAAAGTCATGTTTATCTGATTTCAAACAAACCCTGATGGAAGTCAACTTGAGAAAACATACGGATGATTCATCACCCATCCTGGGGACCTGAAGAGGAACCCTAACTGAGATATCCATGTTTCCAGCATGATAGTGTAAACGGCAAGAGGCAGAGAAGCCATGAAAGACTTCCAGGAGCTGACCTTAGTGCTTCCAAAGCCATCTGAAAGAGCCCATTTCCTCCTCACACCCATTCCTGCCCCTTTTCCCAGACAAATGTGGTTTCTTAGGCAGTAGCAGACTGGAAGACGGTAGGAAATGTGGCCAAAGGTTGCAGACAGAAGCAAGCAAAGCCTGGAAGTCTGCCTTCCCGAGGGAAGGTTAGGAAAACTGTAAGAAGCAGAAAAGATTGTCGGATGGGTTGTAGAGGCTACTTACTATTTAAATGGCCTCCCCAGTTGCAGAGCTGATGCTAAGGGAATGGGTGGGTTAGTTATAAGGTGTCTTAGTTACAGTTTCTATTGCTGTCAAAAGACACCATGACCACGACAACTTTTATAAATATCCCAGCTGGATCAACAACAGAGAGGGAGAACAAGGAATAGGAGACCATGGTAAATGAAGACCACATGAGAACAGGAAGAAGCAAAGTGCTAGAGAGGCCCACAGAAATCCACAAAGATACCCACACAACAGACTGCCGGCAATGGTCGAGAGACAGCCCGAACTGACCTACTCTGGTGATGGGATGGCCAAACACCCTAATTGTTGTGCTAGAAACCTCATCCAACTACTGAGGGATCTGGATGCAGAGATCCATGACTAGGCCCTGGGTGGATCTCTGGGAGTCCAATCAACGAGAATGAGGAGGGTTTATATGAGTGAGAATTGTTGAGACCAAGGTTGGATAAAGCACAGGGACAAATAGCCAAATGAATGGAAACACATGAACTATGAACCAATGGCTGAGGGGTCCACACTGGATCAGGCCCTCCGAATGGGTGAGACAGTTGATTGGCTTGATCTGTTTGGGAGGCATCCAGGCAGTGGGACCAGATCTTGTGCTCATTGCATGAGTTGGCTGTTTGAAACCTGGGGCCTATGCAGGATTGTTTGGCTTGGCCTGGGAGGAGGGTACTAGACCTACCTGGACTGAGTCTACCAGGTTGACCTCAGTCTGTGGGAAAGGCTTTGCCCTGGAGGAGATGGGAATGGGGGGGGGGGGGCGTTGGGGGGAAGGTGAGGGGGACGGGAGGGGGGAGAACAAGGGAATCCGTGACTGATATGTAGAACTGAATTGTATTGCAAAATAAATTAAAATAAATTAAAAAAAAAAAAACATTTAATTGAGGTGAGGGTTTACAGTTCATAAGTTCAGTCCATTATCACTATGGTGGGGAGCATGGTGACATAAAGGCCACATGGTACTGGAGAAGTATCTCAGAGTCCTACATCTTGCAGGCAACAGGAAATGATGTGTCTCACTAGGCATTATCTTGAGCATATATGAGACCTCAAAGCCCACCCCCACAATGACACACTTCCTCCAACAAGGACACATCTACTCCAACAAAGCCACACCTCTTAATAGCGCCACACCCTATGAGCTTATGGGGCCAATTACATTCAAACTACCACATAAGGATACTAGTTTAAGATCCATGCTCTGACCCTGTCTCTAACAATAGGAAGCCTTACTCATTTATCTAGCTGACTCTCACTGAGCTCCTGCATGTATGCTGACTATATTATATGATACAGTCCAAGTAGTGGAATGGAGAAGTTCAAAAATAATTGTAGGACAGTGTGCCACAACACATTATGGCAGGTCCTTGAGTTGAGGTGCTTGAATGCATAAAAAACAAGGTAGTTGATCAAATGTATGAATGACCTTCTATGCCTGTAGGATGAAGAGGAGCCAGCTGAACCCAACTGTGACAATTCATTATAAAGTATGAATGAGAGTTACCAATTGTCACAGCCCTTCCAGAAACTACTCAGTTCTAATAATTTAAAAAAAAAAAAAACAATGTTCAAGGATTCAACAGCAATTGTATAGGTCTAACAGCCCTTTGAAAGATTCATCATTGGTCTTGTGTGCCTCACAAAAATTTTGGGCTTGATCTTACTGCCAAAAGTAATGTTTTCATGTGTTTAAATAAGGAAATTACTAACCCAAAGAACATACATCTTATATAATCTTCATGAGAGATAGGTTCTCTTATAAACCCCATGTTACAGATAATGCAATTGAGGCTCACGACCATTAAATGATGACATCAAGGTTAAATAAGATAGTAGATAAGTTGTGGGTTTAACCCACTACCAGTATGTTGTGAGTGTCTCAAAGAAATTGACTTTGCTACTTGTGGTTGATAGATTGGAGAAGGGCAAACTAAGAGACACAGCTGTTAACAGACTTTGATAGTCAAGTGAAAGACAACCAAAAGAGTCAAAACAGTATCACAAGAAAAGAGAAGAGGAACCGGGTAAGGTCTATAGTGACCCTGGTATGTTCTGAGAAAGGATGTCAGTGGCCTGAACCCACATTTGACTCATGTATTGAGCATGTGTTGTCCCTCACAGAGCTGTTCCTTGGACACAGATGAAATAATAGATTAGTTACATGTTTGTCATTCATTCAGATCATTCAGCAAATATTGTGTCCTTACATTAGAGCAGACAGCATTCCATGTGCTGAAAAAGATAATGTCTACCTGGTCGAACTAAATCCCAGTGAGAGCAGAAAGAGCCCGCGCCATGGAGAAATTCAGGGAGGGAACACCAGGTGTGGGAAAGGCTGCAATGTTAAGTAGGATTATCAGGATTGGCTTCTCTGAGATAGGTGCAACTGAGGCAAGAACACTTCTGTGTGTTTCTGAGGGAAAAAGCATTTCAGCAGGAAAGCGCAGGGCAACCATTCTGAGATGTAAGCATGCCTTCCTCATGAAGGAAGCAGCAGGCAGCAGCAGAGCTGGCACAGACTGGGAAGGGAGGGGAGTGGGAAGAGAGAAGACTTGAGATAGTCCTTTTCAGGCTCTTGTAATGACCATGGCTTTCACTTGGAGTGAGATAGAAAATCTTGGAGGGTTTTTGGTGATTACTGTAATGCCCTAACTTAAGAGGTAAGGGAATAGCTGTGTCTGCAGGACTGATGGTTGTGTGAAGAACAGACTGAAAGAAGGGGGCAAAGGCCTGAGGAAGAGAACAGGGAAGAGGCTAACACAAACGAAAAGCAATGATTCTCTTCAAAGAGCAGCTGACCGAACCTGTGGTCATGACAAAAAGATAAGTCATAAAAGAGTTACTGTTTTTATCCTGAGTAATCAGCAGGGTCGGGTCACCACTGGGAAAGACAGAAGAGGAAAGAGGAGCAGCTGGATATCGGACAGGAAGACCAGAACTTCCTCTGCATATATTGTTTCAAATACTTTTAAACATCTAAGAAGAACTGTCAGCTACAGCATGTAAATATGTGTGTAGGAGGCAGCGCCAGGCTGCTATGCTTCTAACAGTGGTTCTGAGGCTTCTCCCATAAGACACTATGCCATCTCATCTATTTAAAGTGAAAAGGAGAAATTTTTACGAACAAGCATAAGTGATGAATTTTAGAAAATTTTCCATCAAAATACTTTTATAAGATGCCAGTATGGTGACATACCTGTAACCCCAGCACTGGGGAGACTGAGTCAGAAAGATCATTAATTTGAGGCCAGGGTGGGCTACATAATTAAATCCTTCCTCAAACATCATATATATATATATATATATATATATATATATATATATATACATACATATATATATATATATATGCATATAGATCTGCAGTTCTCAAGCTGTGGGTCATAACCCCTTTGGCAAACCTCTATCTTTGAAAATATTTGCATTACAATTCATAACAGTAGCCATTATGTACAGTTATGAAGTAGCACCAAAAATAATTTTATGGTTGGGTGTCAGCACACCATGAGGAACTGTATTAAAGGGTTGCAGCCTTAGGAAGGCTGAGAACCGCTGACATAGACAGCTACGGACTGGAGAGGTGGGCCAGCTCTTAGGAGCACTTTCTGCTATCTAACTCCATTGGGGGGTGGTTCTAATGCCTCTGCTAGCCTTTGCAGGAACTCATGCATGTGGTACATATATGTGCATGCAGATAAAACATTCATACCCATAAAAATAAACTTTCAAGTATGAGGAAAGAGAGATTTTTCGTGGAGCTAGAAAGGGGATCATGAGAGAGCAGAATGCTATCTTGTGAGAAGAGGAGAAAGTAGACAATGAAACTCGAAAGAAGACGTGGGGACTGTGTTCATGGAGGGAGGGGACTAGCAAATGAAAGACTTTGGGGAGTGAAGGACTGCAATGAAGGAAGAAGATGAAAAAAATAATGTATATTGACATAGACATGCGAAACTATCATAATTAATGTGTTACTTTGTATGCTAACTTTTAAAACTTAATTAAAAATGCAAATGCACATTCAAAACTAGTCACTTGAAAAGTGAAGTCTGTGGTTATTTCTCAATTTCTGACAAATCCAGGACAAAGTGTTACTATCGTTTACAGGCATATGTAGTTTGAACAGCTTTCAAATATAATTTCTAAACTGTGTTCATGTGTATGTCTAATTACTATTTTAAAATGAGGAAAATCTTTCTTATTTGCAAAAAAAACCCAGTATCTATGTGATAGTGGCCACAGCATGCCCTTCCATCATAGGTGTATGTCCACTTTGGGTCAATGCAAAAGTTTCTCTCTTTGACTCAGTAAGAGCTCCTCATAACGTGTATCTTCAGGCTTATCTCTGATTAATTCTAGGGACCCGAACATCCTGGGTAGCTATGTGCATATGCTAAGAAATAAAGTAAACTTTAACTGTCTATCTTCAAGTAGTTTCAAAAGGCTTGGTAATAAGCCCTATCTAGCAGTATTTTGTTTGAGACACAGCATAAATTTAGATGTAAACTCTAACTTTGGAATCCATACTTGTCTTCATCATCCTAGTTTTTGAAACTTTAGTCTTTATGGTCATTATAATAAAAACACAGAGATTTATCTAAGAACATGGATTGCCAGCAGAAACTGAGCAAAATACAATTTCAAATTGCTCCCTTAACAGTTAAGCAAAGACAGAAAACGCTGAGCTATCACATGCTCAAGCTAGTAGCGTGATGCCTTCTTTCTTGTGACTAAGAAAAAGAATAGGATGGCTAGGAAGACGGCTAAACTAGGAAGCATTTGCAGAGCACTCAGGAGACTGGACTGAAGCAGCATAGAGATGCATAAGGATGCATGATAAGTTTTTCCAGGAAGGAAAAAATACTCTACGTCCTGTTCCAAAGCAGGCCATATTTTAAAAATGAAGTCTTTCTGATTCTCTACTTCTTCATGTTTTTGCCAAAATCCTAAAATATGAATGTTATCAGAGCTAAAACAAATATGTAGCCATGACAGTTCTTCCAATGAAAGTTACAGATCGGATTTGAAACACAAAAGGGAATTGGAGGAGCTTTTATAAATGTTTTAAAAATGAAACATCATCTTAATATTAAAAAATGTTACTCTGTTATAAAATAGAATTCTAATAATGTGGATTGCTGGAAGAATTAAGAGTGTAGTCGAAATGAATGCAGTTATTTGGTCTCTGAGGAAGGCAAGCCATTAATATCAAGAGTGTTTCTCTGGGGACTGATTCTCCATTGCATTCACAGTGCAACCTGACCCACCTGTTGGCCTCAACTGGACTGTACTGAACGTCAGTTTGACCAGGATTCACGTAGACATCCATGTGAGATGGCAGCCACCACCCAGTGCAGACATTCGGAAGGGATGGATAGCTCTGGAGTACGAAGTTCAATTCAAAGAAGTCAACGAAACCAAGTGGAAAGTGGTAAGAGTCACTACATCCTACACTTTGACAGTTCTGCTTCCTAAGTCAGCAATCACTTTCTTACTTGTGACAACGTTTTCTTTTCACCTAATAACTCATGCCCAAGCTATGTGCCCTACAACTCATTATTAGAGGAAAACTGATATAATCATTAAGTTAATATCTTAAAAAATCTATAAGACAGCAAATGTTGATGTGAATCTTTCATGTAGATCTATGGAAGACTATTGGAAGAAGAAAACCATTTCCCTGGTTATGTTTGGTGTTCAGTTTAACCACAGAGCAAGGTCACAGACTAACCATGTTGCTATCTTTAGAGATGTGGCTGAACATAAATAGGACCATGATCAAGGTCAATAGTAGGCTATGGCCAAATGTCTGCCCATGATCTGAACTGCTGCTACTCATTAGACCTCTGTTAATATCTGTTCTTAGGTCTCTCCAGGAGAGAGGCAGAAAGAAGGAATTTACCCCTTAGAGGTTTCAGAAAGATGTTCTGTTACATACCTCAGAGAAAATCAAGCTAAGATGTCCCAACCTAGGCGAGCAGAAAGCAAGTTGGCCCCTGAACCTCTCACTTCCCTGCCAAGAGGATGGGAGCTCGGCACTGAGATAGATTCCACATGGCACACAACAAGAAGAGAAACAGGATTACCATGCCATTCCAAATATAACTAATTCTAAATCAGTCTAACCACAACCACAGCCCTGGCCAAGCCAAGCAATTTCTGGATAGGCATGATGTTGTACCCAGCACTCTGGCAGGGCTCACTCCCCAAATTTTGAGACACAAGGCCCAATCCTTCAATGTAGCACCAAAAAACATAGCCAATTTTGTCTTCAGCAGAGAGTACAACTTGACCTGCTTCAAACAGTCACTTGCCTTCAAGGTTCTGTTTTCTGAATCATTTTCATTTAGATATCTGGTTTGTAAGTTGGTACTGAAAAGGGGCTGGTTGGATGCTAAGTCAAACAAGACTTTCTAAATCTAAATCCAAGTCATAATCAAACATTCATTCAACAACCAGATATAGGAACGACTACTTTGCACAAGGTACCAAGGGCACCTGGGGTAGCAGTTTTCAAAAGGAGAATCATATACCTCTGTGACCATTTCAAGGGAGATCCAAGGTCAATGATAATTTCAGAGTATACTATAATAACATTTTTATGCCACAATACAAAGACAGTGATAAGGAAACTGCTGGCTCTTGGCGTGAGTTTACTAATAGTCTTCATCATTGTGCAGTTCACAGTAAGTTTCATAGGAGACTCTGCTTAAATCTCAACCCTTGAATCCATCACTGTCTAAGCATCTGTGTGGCACATGGTACACACAGCACTCTTCTACATTCCAAAGTAATGGTGGAGCAAAACACCTAAATGACTGATTCAACAACTGAACCAGCAGCTCTTTTGCATGAACCACAGATTTCACGTGAAGAACAGCAGATATACTAGTAGAGAGTTACTCATATTTGATTTGTCAAACATTTCTCAAGAAAGAAGTTTACACTTCCAGTGAACATATGACAATGTTTGCACCAATGATGAATTTTAACTTTCAGGAGAAAAGTTTTTAAAATGTACATCTACAACCATGAGTTTGATATTTTTCCAGCGTATGAAGACTAACTCCAAAAAGATCCATGATGATATTAGCCAAAAATGGTAGTTTCATGTTATATAATAAAATCTGTGAAAACTTCCAAAGTCTACATCTCAGGGAACCAATATACTAGATATAATATTTTTTCAAATATTCTGAGAATAATTGTCCTAATTATCATGTCAATGGTGTTTTTGAAATATTTATACATGGTATGATGGTTCAGTAACACAATTAATGTATGTATTTTTTCACAGATTTTTTTTGAACTGACAGTTTAAAATCTGCCCTTTTGTACATCAGTGTAATTCATAGTTGTTAACTTTAGGCTCTAAGGTAGTGGTTCTCAACTGTCCTAATGCTGCAACCCTTTAATACCATTCCTCATTTTGCGGCGACCCCCAACCATAAAATTATTTTTGTTGCTACTTCATAACTGTAATTTTGCTACTATTATGAATCATAATGTAAATATCTGTTTTCCAATGGTCTTAGGTGACCCTGTGAAAGGGTCATTCACCCCTAAAGAGGTCACGACCCATAGGTTGAGAACCACTGCTCTGGCTCCCTTCAACACATTCTTCCAATCTGACTGAATTTTTTTATTTTTTTTTCACTAACATTCTCACCAAACCTCCAAACCTCTAGGCCCTGGTGATCACAAAGGTGATCTATTTCTGAGCTCCCCTTGCTGATCCCACATACAAGTGAGGTCATGTAGAATTTGTCTTTCTGTTTCTGCTGTATTTTATCTGATACATTCTAGTGTCATCCATGCTAAGAAAATAATGATTCAGTAAGGCTCATAGTTTTTCATTCCCTATAGATCCCATTTTCTCACCCTACTATTTATCAATAGACCTAGGTTGATCCATATTTTGTCTATTGCGAGTAATATTACAATTATCATGAAGAGGGAAATATATCTTCAACATACTAATTTTACTTTTAATATAAAACCATTAAGTGAAATCCCTAGATCATAGGGTAAATTTATTTTTAATTATTTGAGTAACCTCCAGACTTTTCAATAGCTACTGCACTAATTTTCATTTCTATAAACAAATTAGAAACTAGTCATCAACAGTCTCACCCTGCTGTGAATGCTTAGAGTTGTTTGCCTGGAAAGATAGGCCCACTGATAGTAGTATGAATGTTCTGGGAGCAACTACTTTCTAGTTAGATTTAAAGCCTTCTCCACACAGTGGAACCCACGTCTGACATCATTAACTGGGCCAAAATAACATAGCTGGTGAGATTATGAGCTCCAGAAGAGAACCTAGTACCATTATCCTTCTAAATGGACATAGTAATTAACTGTCCCCCCAAGTTATTATCATTCTACCCATAGATTAATACAGCTCTCAACCCTCATCAGAGAAGCTTCTTTTTTCAATAGATAGTGATTAATACAGAGAGCCACAATCAGTCAGCACGCAGAGGATAAGAGGCAGCAGAGCACTTGTCTTTGAATAGAACATCCATATTCTACCCCCTCCTCCCATGATTCAAGATTATTGAGGAAGAAGGAAAAGAAATATAAAAGAGTCGAATGGAGTAGATGTCTATAAGGAAACTATTTGCTGGTTATGATAATGCAGTTGTACACAGGAACTCACAGCAGCTGGGACTTTATGCAGCACGAGGCTAACACAAGGTCATGGCAGCCAAAAATCCCACTGTGGATTGAGGAGAGGCTTATGAGGTTCCACCCCTGTCTGAGAAGCTCTTGGCAATTGATGGCTACTGGGAGAGGGACAGTCAGTTTTCTTCAGGGTGTGATATCTGAGAGGCTATCCATGTACCAGAAGGTAGTCCTCCACCTATGCACATAGAAGCAGTAAATAGACTGAGTGTTTTGAGAGAGAGAGAGAGAGAGAGAGAGAGAGAGAGAGAGAGAGAGAGAGAGAGAGAACTCTAAGTTGGAAGAGAAAAGTGGTAGAGGATAGGGAAAGAATGGGAGGTGGGTTTGATCAAAGCATTATAGGCATTGATGAATAGTAAATAGAATTTTTCTCAGTTTTTTTATTAGTCAATGCTCAGCCATTAAAGGCCAAATAAAATATTTAAAGGAAACTTTTTCTGTTGACGGTTTCCAGTATTTTTCTGGTCTCAGTTTCGCCTGTTTATTCTCTTACACTTGGTATCCTCTTCCTTCTGCCACCTTTGGGATTAGTTTGTACTTTTTCTCGTTCCTAGAGGTATAATTTTTATTCCTTATTGGATACAGCTGAAAGCTCCCTCAGAAAACTGCCATATAGTATAGAAAGATATGCACAATTACGCTTGAGCAGAAAGATACACACAATCTAGGAAGTGTATTATGTGACAGACTGGTAAAAGGGAGTGCTGGAAGACTGGCAGTGTCTGTGGTGCACAAAGCTCTCACCGGGGACAGGATGAAGACAAGATGTCCCCAAGGAGGCCAGTGTCAGGGTAGGTACAGAAGGAGCCAAATGAGAAGATTTCAGTTTGGAGTTGCAGATGTGAAGGCTTGAAGAAAGAAAGAGATGGGCGGGGTCATGGGTTTAATTCTGGGCCTCCCTATGTGGTTATTTACAGTTGCTAGTAAAATCTATGAATAATACTGGTGACAGTAGCAGAGAAACCAGGCCTTGCTCCAAGCATGCAACACAAAGCTTTCAAAACTACTTTATGAAAGAAACAAGGAAGTTTCAAATTCAGATCCCTGCTTTAAAGAAAGCACTTTAAGCATACAAATATTGCATATAGCCAGGCAGTGGTGGTGCATGCCCTTAATTCCAGTACTCTTGGGAGGCAGAGGCAGGCAGATCTTTGTGAGTTCGAGGCCAGCCTGATCTATAGAGCTAGTTCCAGGATAGCCAAGGCTACAGAGAGAGACCCTATCTCAAAAAAAAAAAAAAAAAAAAAAAAAAAAAAAAAAACTGCATATATTCAGAGGCTCCTGTAAGAAGCCATATCCCTTTCCCTGGCACATACAAAAAAAGAGTGCTTTGTGAGTAGACATCAACAAAAGACAAATTTGTTTCAGAAGCTAAAGGACCAACTTCTGACTTAATAAAAGAAATCGTAGGGTTGATTTATGTGAAAATCTATGCGTTGGAAAGGTGGAGTCTTTCATGTTTTCTGTAAACAGGAACGTGTAAGCATGGTGACCACCACCTGCTACAGTGGTTAACTTGGAGGAAAGCATCGTGATAATGTGGGTCTGTCTCTCTGAAAGCAATACTAATAGGCTAACACTCTACTCTCACTGCCTTTATCTGGGAGGGGGAACATCCTAACTGAGAACTGTGAAACGCTGATACTCAGTGCCCAAGGTCTCCAGTGACTTTCTGTTATATGCATTTTCCTTGGGAGACGTGACTGAACATCCATTCCCTCTAGATAGGGGACCAATGACAGATCAATAAAACTGTTCCACCTAATTCTAATTTGCTGAGTTTATTGAGTGCTGGAAAGAGGATAAATGAAGTTTCCCGACAGGAGTATGAATGACTCAAATGCAGCTACGCTCACAGGGTAGCCCGCCGCAGCGTAGGTGATGAGTCACGAAAGCTACATCCTGGCTGCCCCCTGCACAGCTTCCAGGAAGCTGAGTGGATGGGACAGTTCCCTCTCCCCAGGAATCATTACTGTGTACATAACCCTTGTAGAAGTGCCTTGTGGATCATCTTGGTTTCATGAACTCCCAGCCTTCGGAGTGTTGCTTACTTCCTAAGCCTGAGGACCCTCCTTCCAGGAGATAATGTTTCCATTCGGAGGAAATAGCTACACAGCACTTTCTGAGGAACTGACTTCTGGCATAAATAAAGTGTGTAGCTGCTTCTAATAAAATCATTTGCCATTTCAAAACAACTATAGTATTTCTAGGACTGTTTTGAATTCTGTGATTATTAATAAATGACTAACCAGATTTTCCAGGGAATACATATTCTACAGATATATAATTTGCTTGTGGCCATAATTTGCTTTGGTGTGGAAATATGGGATTTCCTGTTCTAATTTATTGCTCTATACAAAACTGTAATGTCCTAGATCAGTAGGTAACATAATTGTGGTCCTCTTTATAGCTCAGCCATGCTTTAGTCTGTTATAACTTAATCTTACTAGACTACTTAATGACCTAATGCAAAGGCATAGCTGTATTTCTTTAAGCAAATGTATATCTTTGTGTTTATACTAAAAGAAATTTGAGGATTATTATTATTACTTTAACAAAATTATTATTATTTTAACAGAATTATTCTTTACATAATTTGTCTCAGTGTATTTTATTTAATAGCCAACTCCCTCTGGACATGTTAAAATATTACACACTTTCTAGAAACCTGGTTTGAAAAGAAAAGAAAAAATGCATGAAGAATTTGTGCATTGAGTTGTTGATACTTGAGCAATATGTTTTTATATTTTGTTTTGAAAGACACGCCCCCTAAAGACAACATCATTTCCACTGTACTCACTGAAACTGGAAAAGGAATATGAACTGCGTGTGAGATGCAGACCCCACAACTTTGAAAAGTACAGCGAGTTCAGTGAGGTGCTTTATATAACATTTCCTCAGTTGAACGCATTGACATGTGAGGAAGGTAAAGTGTGTGTGTCAGTCGGTGGTGGGGGGGTGGGGGTGTTTAAATTGCAGCTAGCATGACTTTTGGCAACGTAGCAGCTAACATATGCCTACACTGTTAGTGTATTGTCTAGGGGGTATTCTTTTTGTTGTTGTTGTTGTTTTTGAGACATAGTTTCTCTGTGTAGCCCTGGCTGTCCGGGCACTCACTCTGTAGACCAGGCTGGCCTCGAACTCACAGAGATCTGTCTGCCTCTGCCTCCAAGTGCTGGGATTAAATGTGTGTGCTGTCATGCCCAGAGGCCTCTTTTTCTTTAACTGTTTTTACATACACATACACACACACATACACACACACATACACACACACACACACACACACACACACACACACACACACACTCCACAGGTTTTTTTTTTTTTAATGTAAAGGGATTTACATTTACAGCAAACAAGCATGTTGTATCCTTAGGACAGAAAAAAATCCAAAATCATCCCATTGTGTTTCCATGGTTATCAAGTGAAACATTAACTTTCCCCTATGAATTCAAATTAACAAATGTTTTCAAGTGGGAAAAGAAGGTGCCATGTAAACTTTGCTTCAATTATTCATAATTCTGTTAGTAAAATATTCTTTCCTGTTTTAGATTTCCAGTTTCCATGGTTCTTAATTATTATCTTTGGAATATTTGGAGTAGCAGTGATGCTGTTTGTAGTGATTTTTTCAAAACAGCAAAGGTAGGTGTGAAACGCTCTCTTTAATATGTTCTTTGCAAGTTCTGATTTCCATGTGTTATTTGAAAATTTCTCTTGTACAGTAGGAGCGGATATTTTAATTCATTCAGAAATTTGATTTCTGGTTTTGCTTTTACCACATCCATCCTCAGTCTGCAGTGTTCATCTTAGACAGTGGGCAATCTAGATCGGGAAGTCGTGTAGCACATTAAAAGGTTTGCACTACTGACTGTGCCCATGTTGACAGCACTTCCTTATCAGAAAAGCTCCCCAAAGGTGCTCAACAAGTCACCCCTTCACATCAGGACCCCACAGTATCCCTGAACCTTCAGCAGAATCTGTGGCCATCATCGCATACACTCTAATTTAAGTGACAAACTGAAGCCACCCAGACACTTCATTCTAAGAAACTTTCTCAAGTTTATTCATAAGGTGTTGATGTCAAATAAATCGGGGTGCCATTTAAATTATTTGACCATCCCATGATTTTATGTTTCACCTACATTTATTTGTAAATTCAGTCAAAATTCTTTTCAAGTTTTAAGAAATTCTATTTTGGAGTATCTTGGAGTCCAGAGCATTGGACTATTCAACCACTATTTAACAGCTATTCAGCAACTGCTGTTTGAACTACTAATTCTTGAAAGAAAGAGCTGTGTCCCCATACAGCAGAAGTGGGAGAATGCGGGGCTGCAGGTCCACAGTGTAATTTTGGTTTCTATTATCGAGTGAGGATTTTGCTATAAAGTATGAGATTTTGTGAGACTCCTAACCGTGGGAGTGGGGGTGTCTCTGACTCTTTTGCCTGTTCTTGGAACCCTTTCCCTCCTATTAGGTTGCCTTGTCCAGGCTCAGTTTGAGGACTTTCACCTTGTCTCATTGTCTCTTGTTTTGACCTGTTAGGCTGTGTCCTTTGGAGGCCTACTCTTTTCTGAAGAGGAAACATAGAAGGAGTTGATCTAGGGAGGAGGGGAACTGGGGGATGGAGGGGGGCTAGGAGGAGTGGAGGAAGGGTAAACTATGGTTGGGATGTATTGTATGAGAGAAGAATCTGATTTCAACAGCAAGAAAAAAAAATGAGCCTTCTGGCTTAGCACTGAATGTTGAGATGTGCAGTAAGCTAGGCCAATCTTCCTGTTTCTGTTTCTTCATGATCTGAAGCAGAGGGCCAGCTCTCCCATTTGAGGAGACACACAGCTTACCGCCGTCACCATTCCTCCTAATAACAGCACAGTAACCCATCTGATCCATTGATTTACACAAGTAGCTTGGACCCTTGGAGTTTGGGGGTCTCTGTGGCTTAAGATCATCACAACTACAGAAAGCCACTACCACCTGCCAAAACAGGTCATGTTCTTCAGAAAGAAGACAAGTCATGGAATCAGACAACAGCTATTTGGGGATCTTTGTTTCATATAATTGAGGTTACCTTAATTTTTATATCTTTGAAAACTTGAAGGATGCATTTACAGACCAAACAAGAAAGCAGCATGGCATAGGGCAGACAGCCTGGCTCTGGAGCAATTGTCCTGGGCCTGAGCACCAGCCCTACCGATGCTTTGGCATGACTGGAGTGCACAGATAATGTCGTTTCTGTAGTCAGACTTTCTTTGAACCACCAGCTCCTGAATAATGAATGACACAGAGACTTTTTATTAATTATGAAAGCTTGATCTCAGCTTAGCCTTGTTCCCCAATAGCTCTTATAGCTTAAACTAACCTGTTTATATTAATCTATGTTCTGCCACATTACTGCTCCTCCTTACCATACATCCGACTTCCTCCACATCTCGCTGGCGAATCTCCGCCTGATTCCTCCTCTCCGCCGCCCCACCCCCAGTTCCTTTCTCTGCCCAGAAGTCCCAGCTATCCTCTCCTGCCTACCTGTTTGCCATTCAGCTCTTCAGTAAAGCAATCAGAAAGTGCCTTAGGCAGGTGAGGGAAAACAGAGACATCTTCCCACAGTGTGATCAAATATCCCAAAACACATCTCCCTTCCTGGTCGTTGTAAAGATTAGATGAATTGTTTAATGTACACATCAATCATCTTGTTCTATAAAAAAACAATCATCATGTGCTGAGGTTTTAAGCTCTGGGGACTGTATCTGTATCACAGCCTCTCAGTTCCCCCACGGAGGTATGGAAGCATCGGAGCTCACTATGTTAGTTTTAAGGCATAAACTCCAGTTATACAACAAATAGATGGCTTATTCAAATTTGTTCAAGAAATGCTGACCGAGCAGCTTCCAGGTACTAAGCAATAGAATTTCAACAAGACACAAAGTTTGTAGAATAAACGCTGAAATTAATTATAGTCAAAACAATTCCAGGGACTAGAGAAGTGGCTCAGCAGTTAGAGCGCATACTTCTCTTGTGGAGGACCCAGGTTCAATTCCCAGCACCCACCTCTGCCTCTAACTCCAGCTCCAGGGGATCTGAAGCCCTCTTCTAGCCTCCCTAGGTACCTACTCATCTGTGGAATATATTCACCGAGAGGCACATAAAATAAAAATAAAAATAAAAAATCTTGAGGGGAGTCCATGAAAGGGGTACAAGAGAGGGCAACTGGGAGAGGCTGGAGGAAAGAGAGGAAGCGGGGGAAGCGATGTAATTCAATTTCAATTTAAAACATTAAAAATAAATATTTTTTAAAAAGAAAAAAATAATTTCAATATCTGAAAGAGAAAAAATATGTAAATACATTATAGGATTATGTATATAAATCTATCCTAACTAGAGATAAGTCAGACTAGCCGGTCCTACTTTGAATGATCCATGCAATATCATGCTGGTGGGCTATCATCACAAATGTTTTATGGTTACTCTGGACTGTGTGGTGCTGACTTAGTTCCACCCACTCTTTCAAGGGTGAAAATGACTTTGGTTTCACTTTATGGATTGATTTGTTTTCTTCTTGGTGTTACATGCTTCAAAGGTGTCTTATCTATGAGTCACGTGGAAGGTGGCTTTAGACAGAGTTGGATTACTCACAGCCAAATACTAAAATTGGCTAACTCATCAAAAGCACTAAGCAAAAAGAAAAGAAAATAGAAAAAAAAACCACATTTTACCAAAATGATTTTAAATGAAGGTTTTTTTGTGATTTTTTGTCACCTTCTGTTTAATACTTTCCCCCTCTTTCTCATATCCCGCTTCAATAAGATACAAGAGTACTTAGAATAAATGGTAGTACCACCTAGATTTTATGTCTGCCTTTTGAAATAAGAGAACATGGAATGTTTAAGATATGTAAAAATAAAATTTCATTTGTTTTCAAGGATTAAGATGCTGATTTTACCCCCAGTCCCAGTGCCAAAGATTAAAGGAATTGATCCAGATCTTCTCAAGGTAATTAACTCTAAGTTGTGGATCATTCAATTAAGTAATACCTAAAGAATACTGTCCTCTGTTGAGACGGTTTGGATTTTTCTTTGGTTGGTTGTTGTCTTTGGGATTTTTTTTTTTGCGGGGGGGGGGGGGGGGGGGGCATGTTTTGTTTGCTCAATGCATCCTCTTGAAAATTATTTAATTGTTTTTGAATTGCTTTTCATGGATCTCCACTTTCTGTCTGCTTCCTAGGAGGGAAAATTGGAGGAGGTGAACACCATCTTAGGCATTCATGATAACTACAAGCCTGACTTCTACAATGATGACTCCTGGGTTGAGTTTATTGAGCTAGACATCGATGACGCAGATGAAAAGACTGAAGGGTCAGACACAGACAGACTCCTAAGCAATGCCCATGAGAAATCACTCGGCGTCCTTGGAGCAAAGGATGACGATTCTGGACGCACCAGCTGCTATGACCCTGACATTTTTGACCCTGATTTCCACACTAGTGACGTGTGTGATGGTACCTCAGAGTTGGCTCAGCCACAGAAGTTAAAAGAGGAAGCTGATCTCTTGTGCCTTGACCAGAAGAATCTAAAGAACTCGCCTTATGGTGCTCCCCTCGGCTCTCTGCACCCCTGCATTACTCCAACAGCGGAAGACAAACCACAGCCACTTCTGAGGAGTGAAACTGAGTCAACCCACCAACCTGCCTCCACCCAGATGAGCAATCCCGCTTCACTGGCAAACATCGACTTTTATGCCCAAGTAAGCGACATTACACCAGCAGGCAGTGTGGTCCTGTCTCCAGGCCAAAAGAGTAAGGCGGGGATGGCCCAGTGCAACACGCAGCCGCAACCTCAGGTAGCTGCGCCCTGCCAAGAAAATTACAACCTGAACAGTGCCTACTTCTGTGAGTCAGATGCCAAAAAGTGCATCACTGTGACCCCTCACTTGGAGGCCACGCCATGTGTAAAACCAAGCTTTAATCAAGAGGACATTTACATCACCACAGAAAGCCTTACCACTACTTCCCGGATGTCCGAGACAGCAGAGCTTGCTCCGGATGCTGAAATGCCTGTCCCAGACTATACCACGGTCCACACCGTGCAGTCTCCACGGGGCCTTATACTCAACGCAACTGCTTTGCGTTTGCCTGAGAAAAAGAAGTTCCTCTCCTCGTGTGGCTATGTGAGCACAGACCAACTGAACAAAATCATGCAGTAGCCTTTCCTATCTTTAGCCACAAAGAAATGGCTGGACATGAATGCCTAAACCAAAACCATGTTTTAAATCTGTGTTGGGAGAGTATGAGGGTGCGTGTGGATTCTAAAACACCTTTTCCGGAAACATTTATCACAAAGTGGAAAATCAAGAATGCTTAATCAGATAGATACTCCCATTGTGAATTATAAATATTTTAAAGGATCGTCTCTAAGACTGCTTAGTGGCAGTGATTGTCTGTATTGTGGGTCTTAATTTTGTGATACTAAGCATTAAATAATTAGCTATGTTTTTCATGTATGTAAATCATGCTTTTTGAAAAAGCAAACCAATCAGGTGGCTTTTGCAGTTCAGGAAATCGAATGCAGATTACAGCACAGGCTCATTTCTTTTTCTTTTTTAAATAACTGGGAACTAAAATTCTAGGTGAGACAGTAAGGCTAGTTTGGATATGTAAAACATTTATTTTGGCATAAAACTGATAAGAGATATTTTTAATAATTTACACTTTAAGCATGGCTATTTTCTAATATACTATACACGTATTGTAGTTCACAACAATCCATCCAAGGATGTAGCAACTACAGCATAAAGAGGGTTTAACGCTTTGGTCAATGAACCTAAATAAAAACAAACAAGTTAGATTTTTACAAAGCCCTTTTTATAACTCCCAAAATTTCTTAAATCTAAAATGTCTAATAACCTGCATTATTGGAACAAACTCATTTTAAATGTTTAAATGAATATTTTTTAATTTATAAAACTTAAAATTTTTTATACAGATCAACATATCACACACCAAGCAAGAACAGAAATGATATTAATGAAAGACACACTTTTTTCACAAAATTTAAGTTCAAGCCACAGGGCTCCATGCTGAGAAGCTGAAGGGATGGTAGTGTTATTGGCTAGGATGTGGAAGAGCTGTAGAAGCTTGTGGAGCGGGGTTTTGAGAGCCCAGGGATCCGGAGAAGGAGGCTCCCCAACATGTACAGCACTGTCTCTTCAAACGTAGCTCAGTTTTTATAGTAACCTAAGAATTAATACCTACAAAGAGAAATTCACCTGTTGAAGCACATTGGCTACAGTTAACCAGGTAATAGACTAGAAAATTAAAGGCCTAGATCTTTGTCTCACAGCCAGGCACATACTTCGAATCCATGGCAAAAAGGGACAGAATAAATGAGTCTCTGATTACAAAGGACAGCTCAGAATTAACTAAACAAGTAGCAGACACTTTATCGTCAAACCTTTTATAAGGTGTATTTTAAGTAGGAAGAAGAGACTCATCACTTCTTATTCACCTCCCATGAAGACTGGTCTAAGACAAGGTGGAAAAACACACAATATGAAAAAAAAATCCCTCTTTGATTCCTGAATAACATAAACATAATTTTTAGGTTAGCCCCCTGTCAGTCCACTGAAGAATACTTCTCATTTTAAGTATTGTTTTTCGAAGCTTGAAACTTTAAAGTTACCTTTAACTTTTCATGGTATTTACCATTTTGCTCAGACCTTTGTGGGGAAACATGCTTAATGTTTAGTGGTTTTCAATTCTCCTTCGTGCAGGGGAAATAGTGACAGTCTAGGCTTGGGTGTTTACGGTTCACTGTGTTACTTTATAATAGATTTTAATAGATTTTTTTCCTGCTACCTTGCTGCTATGGTTCCTCCAATGGCTACATGATTTAGTTCATAAGAAATATCGTCAACTTAGAATCTATTCAGCTTACAGACGTGTGTTTTGATGAACTATCTTACCATTTCACCATAGGTTGACCATATCTCTATAGCCAAAAAAAAATAGCTAAATACCTCAATCAGTCCCAGAATGTCATTTTTTGGTACTTTGCTGGCCACACAAGCCATTATTCACAGTATGACTAGTTGTGTCCTGCAATCTATATTTAACTTTCTTTTATGTCTGTGGATTTTTTTCCCTTCAAAGTTCAATAAATTTATTTTCTTGGATTTCTGATCGTGTGATTCTATTAACCCCGAAACGAAAGCACCCTGACCCGGACTTTGTACTGAGATTAGCACAGTAAAGGACTGAGAAGTTAGTTTAAATACATCAGCAAGTGGTGGATCACAGAGGAGCAGAGGGGCAGGGGGTAGTTAAGATATCCTTTTTCTTGTATGGACTGTGTCCTCTCCTTAGCCTACAACTCCATGTGGACAGAGACTTACAGAGCCATGCTTCCAGCACATCACATTAAGTGGTGAGTCCAAGTTGATGTGAAGTACGTGAGAAATGGAAAGAGGGAGGTGTTCGGCATTATCTCTAAGGCACATTACTAGCTTGAGCATGTTAACCTGGAATCAAGGACAACAGTTCTCCCTGGACTCACATATTGACGGAGTCTGTCATGTGGACTCCTTGTCATCATAGGAAGCAGACAATAAGTCTCACGATATTAGTTGCTTTTCTTATTGCCCAAAAGAAGCAACTTGAGGGCAAGGTCTGTTATGGTTCACAGTTTAGAGGGTAGGAAAGGCATGGCACCTGAGTGTCTTGGTCCCTGACCGTGGAAGCTTGCAACATGACTTGTTCACATCTTGGAGGATACAGACACAGAAAGCTCCAACTGGAACTAGAGGCAAATATAACTTTCAGTCCCTGCCCCCAGCTACCTAGTTCTACCAAGAATGTCCCTAGATCCAAAGGTTCCACAACTCCTAAAACTGTGCCACCAGCTGGGAACCAAATATTCAAACACATGAGCCTGGGGAGACATGGAAGGTTGGCTTAGGTGGCTTGGGTGGGTTGAGATGGAGCAGGACACATGGAAGGTTGGCTTAGATGGCTTGTGTGGGTTGAGATGGAGTAGCGGGAGACATGGAAGATGGGCTTAGGTGGCTTGTGTGAGATGTGATGGAACAGGACACATGGAAGGTTGGCTTAGGTGACTTGTGCGGGTTGAGATGGAGTGGGCAGTAAAGCCATGAAGCATAAATTCTTACTTTATGTCTCAGGTGGTGAATCACTTGTTCTCAGGCACGCATTAAGTCTTAGGAGATGAAAGGCTGGCATTGATAAGCCACTGGATGGTTATTTACTGCCTCAGTCAGTTGCATAAACTGCCAAGACTATATATAATACTTAGTGGCTGCATTCAATTTAAAAAATATATATATTCTATCTGCTGACTTCTGTCCTTTGAGAGGTCATGACCTAACAGAACTATGGTGTGGAGCCTCTTAGATTTCCTACTTGTAAATATACTTTGAGAAATTGTGTCCTTTCACTGGGATATGAGAAGATATTCTGCTTTTGCATTTACAGAAAAGAAACACATAAAAGATCCCCACTACTGAGAGCACCTGATATTGATTGTTTACATGTGCTGCATAGACCCAATCTTCTAAAGCAGTGGTTCTCGGTCTTCCTAATGCTGTGACCCTTTAATACAGTTCCCCATGTTGTGGTGACCCCAGCCATAAAATTATTTTCTTTACTACTTCAAAACTGTAATTTTGCTACTGTTATGAATTGTAATGTAAATATCTGTGTTTCTGATGGTCTTAGGCAACCTCTGTGAAAGGGTCATTCAACCCCCCAAGAGGGTTGCTATCCACAGGTTGAGAACCACTGTTCTAAAGCTAAAAGAGGTTCTTGCCTATTTCAGAATATTAATGGCATGTGACTGCATATAGGTTTCTGTATTTAAATATCAACATGGTTCTATTGAAATATATACCAGCAAACATTTATATGTTTTTACAGCAAAACATGTTGGTCATGTATTTATTTGGGTAAGAAATCACAAGTAAAGCCAAGCAGAGTCTGTCTTTACTCCCAGTGCTCAGGAGGCAGAAGCAGGTGGAGCTCCGTGAGTTCAAGGCCAGCCTGTTCTACAGGGTGAGTTCCAGGAGAGCCAGAGCTGTATAGTGAGACCTTGTCTCAATAGAAAAAAGAAATGAGAGAGAAAAAGAAAGGAATCACAAGCAAAAACGTTAGACATGGTTAAAATCTAAACTCTTTAGAATCCAAGATCTTATATAATATGCCCCCAATCAACTTAGCCAATTTTATATTTAGGAAATGGACATCTAGGGCACTATTAAGAATAATAATTTGACCTTTGATTGGCATTTAAGCCCACTCTCCTTGGAAAACTAATAAGTATATTGTGTCCACCTTGTTACATGGGTAGAACTTCTCCTGGTCAAAATGATCTCTCACTGGTAAGTCACATGTGAATGGGCTGCAAACTATAAACTCTAGACTTCTACACCATACTCTAGACTTCAGTATGACTCCTGTAGCTGAGCAGGTGCCCTGTGGGGGGACAGTGGAGGTGATGCTTACAGAACTGTAAAAAGGCTATTAATACCACTGGAGTGAAAGCTTCTAGGCCTAGGAGACCCCTTCACTAGCCTTGAGACTTCTACCCCTTGCAAATAGGCTTGGGAAGGAATGAAAATAAAATCCCCACTGGACAGCTGTAGAACCAGCTGCTCCATACACTGTTGCCAATGGTGTGATTCCGAAGTAGAAAGCTTGTTGCTACTTCTCTACATCCTTCTGAATAGACTAAGACCAAGTGTGTTCCATGACCATCTGGTGGCTTGTTGGAGCTTAAACGGTCCCCCATGGATGTATTTGGAAACACTTGCCATTTCTTGAACAAAGTTTGTGGTTTCCTAGCTCTGCATTCTTTCTCAACAAGAAAAAGCTCCCACGTAACAAATGTCTATCAAAACCCTTCTTCAATCAAGGTTCAGCTCAAATGCCTCCATGTAGAATTGATCTTCCGATTCCCTCCACCCTTAAATGATCATTCTCTTCTCTGAACCATTTTTCATTGCGTTTATCATTCCTTGCCCTTTAGTTTGCCTACCAGCCATTTAGGATAGGGTTACTTACATACATTTCCTGAGAATGTCTGACCCTAAAATGTTTTTAAATGAATAATTTAAAAGTAAAACAATTTTAGAAAACACTTTAAGTTATACTCCTCTCTGGGACAGCCATGACACATTTTTAGGTTTTTAAACATTAAAAAATAAACTTAACACTTTATTTTTCTAATTAAAGATGAAATACATCACATAGGTCAGAGATGTGGTAGTTCAATTCCAGGCCACAGTAAAAAGTGAATATTGCAATAAAGGAAGTCACACAACTTTTTGGCTTTCCAGTACATATAACAAGTTATTGATATTATGCTGTGCTCTATTGAGTGGACAGGAATGTTATTTCTTAAAAATGCATAACCTTTAAAAAATATTTTATTTGCCTTATTGTCATCTGAGTCTTCAGGAAATCACATCTTTCTTCTGGTGGGGTGTCCTGTCTTGATACTGATGGCTGATTGACCAGAGCAGTGGTTGAAGGTTTGAGTGTCTGTGGCAGTTTCTGGAATCGAGGCAACAGTGAATTCTTCCACTCATTTCTCTGTGGTGTGTCACGTCCCCTGATAGAATTTTACTCACAGAACTTCTTTCAGAATTGAAATCAGTCCTCTTAAGTGATATCAGTGCTCTACAACTGAGTTTGTGTTATATGCTGAATCTGCTGTTCTTTCTTACCAATGTAGGGAATAGGTTGGCAGCTCAAGAGAGCACTTTTTTCCTGGAATTTTTTTTTAATTTATTGTTTGAGAATTTCATACACGCATAATGTGTTTTGGTCAAATCTACCTCTACTCCTTTAACTTCTCCATATCTCCCCAGCCATTTTCTCCTCCCAACTTCATGTACTCATTTTAAACCCAAGTTTTAGTGTTGCCATTATGTGTAGAGCATCATCTACAGGAGCATGGGCAACCTATCGGACAGCCACATCCCTGAAGTAAACTGACAGTTCCCTCCCCTAGCAACCATCACAAGAAAAAACTTCCTTTTCTTATCCATAAGCAACTTCGCATCCATTAAGCCCTTAGCAACTCACATCTTCAAGCTCAACTTCTACTTCTAGGTCTCTGTTTTACCATGTCGGTAATTTCTTCCTCACTGATGTCTTGAACCCTTCAAAGTTTTCCATGAAGATTAGACAAAACTTTCAAATTCCTATTAATTTTGACATTTTCACCTCCTCCCATGAATCATAAATATTAATGGAGCCTAGATTGTGAATGCTTTCTGGAAGATTCTCAGCTTACTTTGCCCATATCAACCAGAGGAATCCTTACCTATGTCCACTATCTCTGACTTTCTGAAATATGTTCCTTAAACAATAAAAATCAAAGTTGGAAATCACTGCTTTATCCATGCACTACAGAATTGGAATCATGGTCACAGGCATGTAATCAACATGAATCTCCTTATCATCTCCAAAAGGGCCCTTAACTAACCAGATGCACTGTCAACAAAGAGCAAGAGTTAAATTTTTTAATACACCAGTAATTTTAATTTATATTATCATTAGTAGTATGCATTCATTATATGTATTAATGCTGCCTCATTATATTTATTAATGGGGCCCAGTATAATATTTTAATACATACATTCAACGTGTATTTATTTACCCACCCCTCTTTCTCCCCAACCTCTGGTGACCACAAATTTGAATTCAGGACTTTAAAAAATATCTTCCACTTAAGAAAGAATATGTGATACTTATCTTTTTGTGTCTAACTTATTTTATTTACATCGTTTTCAGGAATATGGGTGTAACTGGAAGTCATTACTTTTTAATCACTTTATTATAATGAATTCATAAATAAAAGTATCACACAGCTAGATGAAGGAAGCCACTCAAACAAACATTTGCTATGTCGCAAATGCTACACATCTCAGTGGACTTCTGTAACGTGAGAATACATACCAGAATACATATGTATGCCTGTGATAAACACGCAGTTCTTTTCTCTCTCTGAGTTTGGGTGCCTTTGCCTAACATTGTACTTTCTAAGTCCATTTATTTTCAGTCACATTTAATTTTTCTTTGCTGCTAAATTCTTTTTTATGTATGCCACATTTTCATTAGCCATTCATCTGTTGATGAACGTCTAAGTGGGCTCCAT